GTGTGTCTGTATGAACCCCTCTCTCTCAGTGCAGTGTTAATGTACTGTAGTGTCCAGTCAGTGTGTCTGTATTAACACACCTCTCTCTTTCAGTGTAGTGTTAATGTACAGCTGACCAAACTAAACAACATCCGTATCAAGTCTCTCCAGGACATTGAGAACGAGGTGAGTGTTGTGTTACAGCTGTCACATGCACATTTCATGCCTGTATTGGTGTCCTTCTGCAGTTTTGTTACAGTGTTGTCTTGTTGTGTTACAGTACGACTACACCTTCAGTGTGGAGAAATCTGCCGCCAGCCGGACCAGTCCTATGCTGTCACAGGCCTAGAGCACAGCGCGAGGACCATGTTTGTTACACACACTACCCATCTACCTTTACCAGGAGAACAAGCCCAACCTCCTAGTGCACTGCAGTCTGTTTCACTCCAGGTTTTACCATCTGTAAACCTCCTGCATAGAAGTGACACCTAAACCGGAACATTTCTGGCTTGTCATGGAACTTGGAGTGACTATGCACGGATGTGTGCGATTAAATTAAAAATACAGCCTATATTATTCTGTTTCCTTGCACCAGCAAAGCTTTTACAGCACCCTCCTGCCATTGATAAAACCTGGAGCGGATTAGGCTGCTACGCACTAAGAGTCTGATTCTCACAGTTGTGAAAACCTGCTGAGAACATTTTTGGAATTCCGTGCAAAGAAGAGGAAGAGATGGAAGGGGTAGTTCTCAGTGGAGTTAGAATATAAAAAGCAGGCCTGCACAGCTAGTTTCTGTCTAGAACAGTTGATGCTGGGGCTGTGTGAAACCCAATCCTGACCTCCTGTCACAGCCCCCTTACTCTTTCTGTGTTCGAACCCGGGACCCTATTCTCCCCTTCCCAGATGATGGCTGCTGCTCGATGGCATGCCCGGGTCGGACGGTGCATCAAATTCTGTTTCGAGACTCGGGACGCCGCTGTCCCCCAGCCTGCCGGGCCCATGTGGGGGTGTGGGCTGATCCCCTCATGAGACTCCTGCCCCCCCCCCCATCCCAATCAGGGTCTCCCGGAGGGATGAGTATCTCCCCTATTAGCCTCTTCGGCATCGTGCTTCCCTTTGCCGGTTTTCCAGATGGTTTTTAAAGTCGCTCTACCTGTGCCCCTGCTACTCGGCTCCTGCAGCCAGGAACGATTTGCAATTTTGCCCCCCTCCCTCGAGCCAAACGCTAGGAAGTAGCTGCACTGCTGGGATCCAGTCAAGTCCGATCCCAGCCTGTCCGCCCTCCTGGACCGATAACAGTGCAGATGGTCCTGTTCAGAACTGGTTTGTGTAGAAGTGCCAGTGAGACCATTGCACTCCCAGTTCTGGGCACCCTGTGCAACAGACAGCGCAGCAGGCAGAACCCAAGACTTGAGGCCCGTCATGCTGGCCCATCTGCCCTGATCTGTAGTTAACTTCTAATTGATCTGAGGATCTCCAGTCATTTCATATAGGAAACTGGGCAAGTTTGTACCACACTCCCACAACTCTTTGTGTAAAGAAAAGCCTCCTGTTTTCAGCTGGAACAGGTGCTGTTTGTCAAAAGTATGACAGTTGTTTTATTATTTAAAAATGGGAACATAAGTTAATTTTTGTCTTCATGAAGTTGTTTTAACCTGCAGTCAAGAGAGTGTTTCTGCAATGTATCCTTATATACGTTAGATTTCTATTGTATAGAATTTACTTGTATTTCACTTTGAGGTTTTCGGAACTCAAGCTAAAATAAGTGTTTTAACAGGTAAGAATTTAGTTACTTGTATTTAAACTAGTCTTTACTGGTTATAAAACTATTGGAAAATGAAGGAGTTAAACCTGGTTCTTTCAGTGAAGTAGCAGACGGGAATATGCACTGGCCTGTACCCTTTGTGCTGACCCTAGACACAGAAGGATTAGATGGGCTGTGATGTCATTGTGATGCATGTTCTCTCCGTAGCAATACGGCCGCCCTTCGCCAGACAATGCGTTGCTACACTGCTAAGGAAACACCACAGCGAAATGACATCACCAGCTCCCATCTGGTCTGTGTCTACAATCCTGCTCCTCTGGTCTCTCTTTTCAATGTAAATACAGCTTGTTCTGGGGTTAATAAAGTTGCATAGACCAAGCAGAGTGGTGCCTCTCTCTCTCTATATATTTTCCACACATCATGACCTCCGCGCACGCACACGCACACACGCACACTTGACAACTCGGACTGAAAGGAGTAGACGCTCGGCGCCAGTGCCCCTCCTATACGGACAGTGGGTATCGGCAACCCCTTGGGTAGAAATATAACTGGTCATCATACCACTCCCGGCCCAGGGGCCACAGAGGCCAGGGCTTCAAAAAAACCCAGCAGCTGCCACCCCCTTGGTTCCACAGCTCAACCAGCTGTTCCTTCCGGGCTTTCATTCAGTTTTCTTAAATAGAACTATTCAAGCAGCTACAGTCGAGTAACCCCCCCCTGCCCCCCGCCCCAGAATCCCAGACCCATCCCCGAGGGCCTAGGGAAGGCCAGGTGAACGGAGGAAGCAGACGCGCGGACGCCAGCCTAGTTCTTTTTCTCCTTTATATTCTCTGCGGTCACAGTTCTGTCTTTACAAAAACAAGTGTTAAAAAAGTCTTCGGTTCTGGGTGAAACACTTGAGGACGTGCGCTGGAGCCCTCGGGTTCACCACACGCAATACTCTCCTGCGGTCTTGGCTCATGGTCAGGGGCGAGAGAGGAGGGGGAGACGTGATGGGAGAGGAGACGGGAGAGGGAGAGATGGGAGAGGAGACGGGAGAGGGAGAGATGGGAGAGGAGACGGGAGAGGGAGAGATGGCGGAGACTGAGGAAGAAGAAGGGATGGGAGAGGGTTTGTGTCACAGAAGGGACACGGGGACAGGCGCGGCAGAGGGCAGGCAGTCAGTTAACAGGTCCGTCTCAAGACTGCTGCTTGAAGTTGGACGCCACCACCTCCTCATGCTGCCCCCCTCTGCTCCGGGCCAGGTCCCTGCAGGCCCCGCTGCATGGCTGCCAGGCATTGCTCAGCAAGGCATCCTCAATGCCCCCTTGCCCAGCAGGAACTGCAGTATTCTGTCCACCAGCAGGGCGGCGACAAAATCCAGTACTAGGACCTGGGCTATCACCAGCTTGAACTGGGCAAGAGGGAAAGAGAGGGAGAAGCAGGTTAATGCGATCAGGCCTCCTGCCACTCGACTTCACCCTCTCCTGACTCCCGCTCATCCTCTCCTACCTCAGTTGGAATGTCCACCAGCGCAAACTGCTCATTGAACTCGGGAGAGGAGCCGGACAGCAGCCCTGCGATAGCCAGGCCAGACAGTACCAGACTCCACAGTAGCGGCCTGTTCTCTGACAGAGACTCCATGAAGGGATGACCCTGTGAGAGCAAGGGAGAGGTGAATCTGCAGGCTGGACAGTACAGTGTGCTGGCAGACAGACAGGGTGAGAGAGAGGTGAATCTGTGCAGGCTGGACAGTACAGTGTGCTGGCAGACAGACAGGGTGAGAGAGAGAGGTAAATCTGTGCAGGCTGGACAGTACAGTGTGCTGGCAGACAGACAGGGTGAGAGAGAGGTGAATCTGTGCAGGCTGGACAGTACAGTGTGCTGGCAGACAGACAGGGTGAGAGAGAGGTGAATCTGTGCAGGAGGGACAGTACAGCATGCACTCTGTGAAGTACCTTGTAATTAATGGCGAAGGTGGCCATCTGCATGGCCATGGACATGATGTAGACCGTGCTGTTGACCAGGCTGGGCTCGAACTCCTTGTACAGATCCACAAACTGCTCCTGCCTGGCCGGGGAGAGAGCGAGACCGTGTTCACACTGAGTCGTCAGCTGGCTGTGCTGTGGGTGGGCAGTGTGTATGGACTCTGTGTTTGGGCAGAGCGCTGTGCGTGGATAGTGTGTGCACTGCACAGAGCTAACAGCTCATTGCACAGAGCTCTGTGTTGTGTGTGGACAGTGTGCTGTGCATGGGCAGTGTGCGGAGTGTTGTGTGTGTGGACAGTGTATGGTGTTGTGTGTGTGTGTGGAGTGGTGTATGGTGTGTGGGTGTGCTGTGTGTGGAGTGGTGTATGGTGTGTGGGTGTGCTGTGTGTGGAGTGGTGTATGGTGTGTGGGTGTGCTGTGTGTGGAGTGGTGTATGGTGTGGGTGTGCTGTGTCTGGACTTTGCATGTGGGTAGTGTATGGAGTGTTGTGTGTGTGGGCAGTGTGTGCTGTGTGTGGACAGTGTGCGGAGTGCTGTGTGTGTGGAGTGGTGTATGGTGGGGGTGTGGACAGTGTGTGGAATGTTGTGTGTGTGGGCAGTGTGTGTTGTGTGCTAATCAGGTGTGTACCTGATGAAAAGAGTAGGGGTGTAACCCCAGTGTTCTGGCCAAATTTCCCATTGGCCCTTACCAATCATGGCCTCCTAATAATCCCCATCTACAAACTGGCTTCATTACTCTGCTCTCCTCCCCACTGAGAGCTGATGTGTGGTGAGTGTACTGGCGCACTATGGCTGCCATTGCATCATCCAGGTGGATGCTGCACATTGGTGGTGGTGGAGAGGAGTCCCCATTATCTGTAAAGCACTCTGAGTGGAGTGTCCAGAAAAGCGCTTTATAAGTGTAAGCAATTGTTAATAATAATAATAATAATAATATTACCTGGGAGGGCTGCGGACCTGCGCTCCTCTGTACAGGTACACCAGGCTGCAGAAGTGCACCAGGAACTGCAGCAGCACTGTCAGCACAGTGTACAGGTTGAAGATGTTGGGCAGGGGGCGCTCTTTCGACAGGCTCTTCAGTGGCTGGGCAGGACAAGCACAGGGGGTCACTGAGCTGAGCAACAAGAGGTCTAGGACTCTGACCTTCAAAGACAAAACTCCCCCCCCCCCCCCCCCCCCCCCCTCCCCCCACCCCCTCCAAAACTCCCCCCCCCCCCCCCCAAAACCCCCCCCCCCCCCCATCCTCCTCCTTCAGCACCGCCTTGCGCTCTGCTCTGTGTCTCTGCCCCTTCCACTCCTCTCTCTCCCTCTCCCATCCCTCCCTCTCTCCCTCCTTCCTCACCTTGGAGCGAGAGATGAAGAGGAAGCAGCCGGCCAGCAACAGGCCCTGAAGGGTGGCCTGGAAGTCGCTGAACTTGACTCCCTCCAGGTACAGCACGCTCTGGCTGTAGGCCAGCACCAGCGCATTCAGGGCCAGGATCTTGAACATCTGCAGAGTGGTGACCAGCGTGCAGCGCCCCTGCTTGATCACATGGCAGACTGGGAGAGAGGGAGTGGAGGAAGGGTTGACAGCCGCATCACTGTGCACTCAAAATGCTTACAAAGCCTGTTAGTGACACTGATGTTGCTGAAGTGCTGTTATCAGTGTGCAGTGCTCTCTCTCTGCACAGAGGACAGCGACACTCACTGCACTGCACAGAGGACAGAAACACTACACTGTACTGACACTCACTGCACTGCACAGAGGACAGTGACACTACACTGTACTGACACTGCACTGCACAGAGGACAGTGACACTGCACAGAGGACAGAAACACTACACTGTACTGACACTCACTGCACTGCACAGAGGACAGAAACACTACACTGTACTGACACTGCACTGCACAGAGGACAGTGACACTGCACAGAGGATAGTGACACTCACTGCACTGTGACGCTGCACTGTACTGACACTCACTGCACATCACAAAGGACAGCTGCACCCACTGAACACAGGACAGCGACACTCACTGCACTGCACAGAGGACAGCGACACTCACTGCACTGCACAGAGGACAGCCAAACTCAGTCAACTGCAGAGCACACTTCACTGTATAGAGCTCAGCTATACTCACTGAATAGGGGACAGTTATATTCACTGTATAGAGCACAGCTATACTCACTGTACAGGGGGCAGATATACTCACTGTACAGAGAACAGCTAGGCTCACTGCACAGAGAACAGCTATACTCACTGCACTGTATGGAGGACAGTTTGGAGGTGAAAGGGGCAGCAATAGAGGCGTCTCCCAGTTTGACCACCTGGACCTGGTCCTCCTCCAGCTCCCTGAGCACCTGGCTGATCCGCTCCTGGAAAAACACCAGCTCGCAATGACTCACAGCAATACGCCAAACACAGCAGTACAGTGCACAGCCAGAGGGCGCCAACACCACGCATGTGCACCAGGGGGCGCTGTACCAGCGTCCCCGCCGGCCCGCTGGGGTGCTGGGGTGTGTCCGATGGCACACCAGTTCTCGGGGGAATCCTGCAGCTCGTGGACCGGGGCACCCCGCGGACAGCGCTCACCTTCTGTGCGGCCAGCTGCTCCTCCCTCTGCGCCAGCACCCTCTGCCGCGCCCCCCGCGAGCTCAGCTTGGCCCCCCCGCTGCCCGAGAGGGGGGGGGCGCGCAGCTCGCCGCTGGGGCGGGGCTCCCTGTCCTCCCGGCCTCTCTTCCGGCGCTCCGGCATCCTCTCCGGAGCGTTCGCCAGGAGAGCCACACCTGGACCGCGAGCGGGAGGGAGAGGGACACTGATCGATTATCGATTGATTAGGTATCGACAACCAGTCTAACAGTGGCGACTTGTGGCGATTAGCTATCAATGAAGTATTAGATACTGGAAAGCAGCATTTAGATAAGGACTTTATCAATGAGCTATTGACCAGCTACCAGTTCCATAATGATCATCTATCGCTTAGCAGCAGCAAACGATGGGTCGTGCTCAGACGAGCGTTAGTGAGGCAGAGGAGGGGCGGCAGGTGCTCTCACCGATGTGGGCGTGTTTCAGCGCTCCCACGTCATTGGTCCCATCGCCACACATGAGCGTGATGAAGCCCAGCCCCTTCAGACTGGTGATCACGCACTCCTGGGAGACGGGAGAGAGGGGAGAGAGGGGAAGCACAGGGGGAGAGTGAGGGGAGGGATGTGAAGGAGAAACGGGAGAGACTGGATCAGTAAGGGGAGAAATCAGACTCAGTGTCGCAGCAGTAACAGCTACAGAGGAGCATTACGCCTGTTCTGCAGGACTGTCTCTACAGAGCTGCTGACAGAGCTGCCGCTGCAAGTGCGCGCTGCTGAGGGGGGGCTTGGCCACCTCTCACTCGCAGCCTCTTGTTCAGTTTTAGAATTTTTAAATAACCTGGAACCTCCAGAAAGTCTTTATTATTTCACATCAACCCAACCTGGAGAGTCTCTATGCCTCAGCTCATGGCAACGGTCCCTGTACCCCCAAGACAGCCGGAGGAAGCACAGATAGGTTCCGCCCCTTCGCCAGGTCATGCTACTGCAAGCCTGCAAGGAGCCCGTGAACCTGCAGGGGTCGCTGTTTCGTCAGGAGCCAAGACCAGAGGAGACCAATTCCAGCCTGTCGCTTGCTGGGAGACATGATGGCGATAGCGATGACTGTGATCAGGGTACAAATTATGTCAGCAGTACAAACCTTCTGTTTGGGGCTGACTCTGGCAAAGACACGGATGTGGGGCAGCAGGATGTTCAGCAGCTGGGGTTCGAGGGTCAGCCTGGACAGCCCCTCCCCCGTCACACAGAGGTCGTACTGAGTGACCAGGGTGTGCATGGAGGTTGGGTAGAGTTGCAGGGACACACTGCCATCTATGGACACCCACTGCCACTGCGCACCTGCGACATGCACATCAAGAGAGAGTACAGCTCAGTCAAATGCCACATAGTCAAACACCGCACAATCAAATGCCGCATAGTAAAACACAGCACAATCACAACATGGCCAACAGGGACTCTAGGCTCTCTGACACTGTGCTTTAGTCTAACAGTTAATCCTCACAGATCTGGGGATCAGGTGCTGACCGTTGTGAGTTAAAGGTTACTAGAAGACAGATTTATTTTCTTTGCAGAGGCTGTGAGAAAACTGATGATGCTCATGCATGTATTGTAGCTCCCGACTGTGCCAAAATACCAGAGACTTACAAATCAGAGCATTCAAATATAGAGACAGGTGAGTGAGATGCAAGAGGGGCGGGGGAAACACACAGGAAGGGGCGGAGAGATGTGAGAGGGGCGGGGAGATGTGAGAGGGG